TCTATTAATTAGACATCAAAACCACACCGCAGAATAGGATCACACGGATTCAAAAAAACTAGAATAAAAAACTGAGCAAAAGCACAACAAAACTATTCCATAAAAGGTACACGAAGATTTAACGTGAAAAAACCTATGAACGACCACACCACTAAGAAATTTTCACTATGAAAAACCAGAAATGTACAAAAAAAAAAAAAAACTCAGATCTCCTCTTCACTATTTTTGCTAATTTATAATGTTGAATTAAAAATAAAACTTACAATATGACTCTTCTTCCAGTTTATATACTCGTTTGTTATGCAGTGCTCTTTTCTCATATGTTAATATTGCTAAATCCTAGATCTAATTTGACTCTAAAGACTATAGTTTATCTTCCATAGCAAGCCTCCACTCTCTTGAAAATTTAACTTGAGTGGCCCCTCAAAGTACTCTAGTTTATCACTATCAGTTTGCAAAAAATTGTATAACAAAGGAGAATACATGTTTATCGGTCGTATCGCTATGTTGAACCTCCTGATTTTAGTACCAAAGGACTAAGGAACTTCCTCAAAGTATTGGACTATGGTTAATTAAATAAATAACAATGTTTACTGCTTCAGCTCAAAACTATTTTTGGTAAGCTTACATGCAGTCATATGCTCTTGGAACGCTCGGTGACTGTTTAATTCATGTGCTCATTTAATCCATTTATGTGACTGTTTAATTCATGTGCTCATTTAATCCATTTTGTTGTGGATTTCTCACGACAATGACCTTATGTGTGATTTCTTTTGTAGCACATAAATTCTTGAACTTTTGATCACAATTATTTTTCTTATTATCTGATCGAGACACTTCAGCTTTAAGTTTGTCTCATTTTTTATCATAGTCTTCCACTTCTTTAACACTAAAATACACTATATTTTTTCTTTAATAATTAAAATTGTATCTTGCTAGTGTGATCCTTAATAAACATAACGAAGTTGTGGGAAACTCCAATGGATTGAACTAGAGCAGAATCCCATATATCATTATACACTAACTCTAGTTTCTTTGACTTTATTATCGACTGACCTATAGAAAAAAACTTAGTTCTGATTTTCATATATATGATTTTCACAGAAATCTAAATTTAATAATTTTAAACCCAAAATTTTATTCTTTGAAAGTAGGGACTTTATATATTTATTGCTCATATGTTTAAGCCTACGGTTCCACAGACCTGCATCCATCTTTGTTCCAGTCACATCAATGAAATCCATTTTTTAATTGATCAGATAAAGAGTGCCTACAATGTTCCCCTTATCCATAACAATTGCTCTCTGGTCACTTTTCATAAATCATCTTTGAATGTTATAATGAACCCTGACTTTGGCAATTAGCTCACAAAGATTAAATTTCTCTTCAAACTTAGAACATATCTAACTTCGGTAAGCTTCCAGACTATTTCATTTGACAACTTAATATTTACATCACACTTTTTTACAAAATTTCATGACTTATTGTCTCCCAAATAAGCCTTTTCTAGATCACTTTGAGTGTAACATTTGAATACATTTTTATTTGAGCATGTGTGAAAAATGGCAGTTGAATATATTATCCAATATTTAAGGCTAAATATAGATAACACTAGAAAGTTACCTTAAATTTTAATTGTGAAGGTATTTGTAGAGAGATTCTTTTTTCGTCCTCCACCATCATCTTTCCATGGAGCTTTATAATATGTTTTGAAATGCTTATTCTTTCAGCATTTCCAGCATTCTCTCATGACATTTCCTTTGCTTGACTTGAACTTTCCTCATTTGAACTTGAATATCTCTTTGTTTGTATTCTCGTCAAGATCTTTTTCTTTGTTTTCAGCATTCAATGCAGATCTGAGTATTTACCATTTTCTAACTTCCTATGAACTTCTTTATTCACCACCATCCTTATGATGTCATCGAAATTCATCTTCATCTTTATTAAAGAGTTACTTACCTCCGTGACCTATCCATCTCAACTGTCCTACAATAAAGATGGTATCAACAATGACCCAACTTTATTATGAAATTTGATCCTTTAAATTATTCAAATGTTCTACTGGTGAACTTTTTTTCACTATCTTCAGGTTGAATAACATATTCATTAGAAAATTCTTATTTGAAACATAAGGCTTTACATACATTTTTGTCAATGCCTCAATGAGATCCAATATGGTTATCTCATTTATTATATTAAATGCAACATATGAGGAGAGTGATAAATGGATAAAATATAGATTTGTTTGATCTAGCAACTCCCATTCCTCCATAGCCATAGTTTCATGCTTCTTAGTGATTCCTTGAAGTGGTATATGAATTTTTTTTTTCAGATACAGTAAATCCTCTAAATGAATCCTCTAGAAGTTGAATTTCGACCCATTGAACTTCTCCATATTGTACCTCACTTTGTTGATCATTACTCACGCTCAAATCGAAAAGCCTCTGTTCTAATACCACTTGTTAGGATTGATCTATATATACTTCTAAGGATTCAATTAATTAGAAATCAACCACACCACAAAATAGGATCTCACAGTTAAAAAAAAATAGAATAAAAAAATAATATAGAAGCTCAACAAGATAATTTCATCAAACTAAACATCAAGATTAACGGGAACAAAAAACCCAAAAACATAAAAAATAACCATGAAGTCACATCACTATTAATTTACATTATGAAAAACTAGAAATAAACATAAATACTCAAACTGATCTTCTCTCTACAATCAATGAAACTTATAGGACTTGACTCCAAACCCTTCCTCTTGATCACACAAGAAAATTGCACACTGAAATCGTTCTCTTTGACTATTTTGTTCTAACAAAAACCTTGTCGAAACACCACTTAAGAGAGTAGTAACACATTGTTACTTGAAAAGCAGGCTCCATTCATAACACGTTGTTCACTTGAAAATTACATTGCTAAATTTTTCAAAGGCAATGCCTCATTTTTTCCAATCTTGTGGATGATACTCTCTTAATTATGAAAAAATCAAACACTTTTGAAACATTCATAGTAAAGACATATATTTGACAGTATCATGAAAAAGATTCTTCGATCATTAGATTCAAAATTTGACAGTATCACAATCATTATCGAAGAGACCAATGATTTATAAGCCATGACGATAGAGCAGCTACTGGGTTCATTGCAAGCCCATGAAGAAAAGAAGAAGATGAATGAAGACATTGACGAACAACTTCTCAAGACAAATCTCCAACCAACTCAAAAAGATGAAAGCTTCAACAATATTAGAAGCCAACATGGAAGTGATAGTGGATAAGGACGAGGTCATGCTAGCAAGCAAGAATGGAGTATCAACAATAAATATCAGAAATGAGAAAGATCTACAAGAGGGCGTGGTCGAGGGCGTTGAAACTCGAGGTATGATAAATCTCAAATTAAGTGCTATAATTGTAACAAGTTTGAGTATTATGTGAAAGAATGTAAAGCACCTAAGAACAAAGTCAATGAAAGAGTCAATTACGTAGAATGTGAAGTCAAGCTATCAAAGCATGATGAGGGAAAAAGAATTAATCCAACGAATTTTAAGATTTTGGTTGGAAGTTTGCGCTATTTGCATGCACAAGGCCTGATATTCTTTATGTTGTTGGATTTGTCAATCGCTACATGGAGACTCTGACTGCTACCCACTTGAAGACCGCTAAAAGAATTATATGTTATATCAAAGATACAATTGATTTTGGCTTACTTTACTCATCATCTAACAATTTCAAGCGTTTAGGATATAACGATAGTGATTGGGCTGGAGACACGAATGACAGAAAGAGCATTATAGGTTTCGTGTTCTTCATAGGAGAGATTGTTTTCACTTGGATGTCAAAGAAACAATCAATTGTCACTCTTTCTACTTGAGAAGCAGAGTACGTGGATACAATTTCATGTGTTTGTCATGCAATTTGGCTTCAAAACCTGTTAAAGGAGCTAAGTTTACCACAAGAAGAAGCGATCAAGATTTGTATCAATAATAAGTCTGCAATAGCGCTAGCAAAGAATCCAGTTTTCCACGATAGAAGCAAACACATTGATAAGAGATATCACTACATCAGAAAATGCATCAAAAGAAAGAAGATACAAGTGCAGTATGTGAAGTCTCAAGATCAAGTTACAGATATTTTTACCAAGTCAATCAAGTGTGAAGACTTTATTAAAATGAGAAGTTTACTTGAAGTGACAAAATCAAGTTTAAAATGGGGTGTGAAAATATAAATTTGATTTTAGCATGTCTCATCTAGAAGCTTATTCTAGAATATGTGGTAGGTATGAAATTATTGTGTGGTAAGTGTGATAGGTATGAAATTATTGTGTGGTATGTATGAAATTATTTGTAACTATTAGATTAGAATTGTAGTGGCACAATCCTAGTCATTAATTTAGGAGGTACTACTGGTATAAATAGGGGTGGAGACTTTGAGTTTATATCAAACCAAGTAAATGTGATAAATAGAAGTGAAACTTCTTTTATAAAATTTTTAACTTTTGTTAAATCCTAAAAGCTTCGCCATTCCAACAGTCACTGTTCACAATGTGTGGTGAAATGTACGTCGTTCTATAGGTTTCCACACAAAATATATTCTCCCAATAGAGGGTTGGAGGCCTTTGCCAAAGTTAGATTACCAGCCGCTTCTTATCCTGCTGATAGAGGAACGCGGGTTCAGGCGCTTGCATTGATATAATTGTCTTTTGACTCTTAATACAAAAATGCAGTATTCCCTACATTTGTATCTCTCTTATAAGGGAAAGAAAAAAACGAAGAGTTACATACTATTCCTTATAGCAAGTAGTAGAAGCTTTATCCTCAAAGATCGACAAGAAAGAGAGATAGATTACGTATTTACAAGTATACATAGTTTTTTTCTTCCATCGCATGTTTGCTTCACGCAAGCTGCTAGACTGAAGGGGTTAGGCTTTCCTGCCTGCCGTGGCTTTAAAGACTCATCAATACAAAAGAAGAAACCGAAAACATAATAAAGAAAGCGAAGCCCCACGCGTACAGTAACCCCAAACACGACCCACCACCAACAGGACAAATCTCCATTAAAAAAATAATCCCATAGCCTTCTCCTCCCTTTCTTCTCCACACCCCGGTCTTCTCTGTCCCAGCACCGAACAGATCATCAGGTATAAACATAGAGGGAAATAAGAGACAAAAAAGAGAAAAAAGAGGCGGAGAAACGCGCGCGCGCCGAAGGTGGCATGAGTACTGGAAGTACAAGCAGCAGCGGAGGGGCCGGAGGAAGCGGCGGAGGTTCCGGAGTTGGTGGCGGAGGAGGCCCGTGCGGTGCGTGCAAGTTTCTTCGAAGAAAGTGCGTCAGCGGCTGTATCTTCGCTCCTTACTTCGACTCGGACCAAGGAGCGGCGCACTTTGCGGCCGTGCACAAGGTGTTCGGTGCTAGCAACGTGTCGAAGCTGCTGCTACACATCCCGGCGCACAAGCGCCCGGATGCGGTGGTCACTATCTGTTTCGAGGCCCAGTCGCGCCTCCGCGACCCCGTTTACGGCTGCGTGGCACACATCTTCGCTCTTCAGCAGCAGGTCAGTAGGTTCTCAGTAAAATTCAGAAAGGAGTATTCTAGATGAGGCAATTGAGTTTATGTCAGTGAGTGAGTGAAGGACAAAGGTTTGATGATAAGAAGCTCATTAGGATATCTGACTAATAGGACAAGATATTAAAAAATGCTTGAAGTAAATTTATTATTTGATATGTTATGGTATATATATAAATGCAATACATTTCTAATTCTGATTTCTGAAAATAGTTTATTTTTAGTTTTTCCCTTTTTTTTAAGCTATAGCTTATACGTGTATATAATAAGATTTGATGAAAATATACTGGCTCTGTTATGAAGAGAATGTTCTCAGTTATATATATACATATATACATATACATATATATATATATATATAGTGCAGCTTTTTCTAATATTCCTCGCTTCTAAAACCACAGCTGACCATGAACGATGCGCATCAAATCAATATCATTTTAAAATTCCTCTTAATTTATGTTAGAAAAACTTATTAGAAAGTCTCACTGTTATTGCATATCATATTAATCATGAATCTTAATCTAAGAATATATATAATTATTTTGCTAAAAACTCCAGCTGAATTTATAGTGAAAGTTGCATGGCAAGATATACTGAAAAATGTAAAACATCATATTTTCAACATAATCACTATTCTGAATTCTCATGAAACGATATGCTGGATTGTCAAAAATCTATTAGTATATCAGATTTATGTTACATTTGATATATTTTATAAATACTTGTTCAACATGCGTCTTTGGTGGGTATAAAAACATCCCTTTAACAAACTTTCATGTTAAAAACATGTACTGATCAAGTGCAGCCATATTCAGGTTGTGAGCCTTCAGGCCGAGCTGTCTTACTTGCAGTCCCACCTTGCAACGCTGGAGCTGCCCACACCCCCTCCTCTACCACCGCCGCCACTCCCCCAAGCAAATGCCTTCTCAATGCCGGAGCTCCTCTCCTCATCGAACCTCCCATCTCATTCCAACCTTGACCTATCGTGGCTCTTCGACCCCCAGTTTCAAATGCAGCAGCAGAATCGACCAGCAGAGCTCCGGCAGCCACAGCAACTCGAACGTAGCGGTGAAAGGCAGGTGGGAGAGAGCTCCGGCAGTCACGGGGGAGGAGACCTGCAGGCATTAGCTAGGGAACTAATCGAAAGACACCGTTCATCGTCATCCGATCACTCATCCAAGCTGCCCAAGTAAAAATCAATCGCCACCCATCTATGAGACTAATAGTAGTAATGGTGTAGTAGTAACTAATTATCCTTCATTGCTAAAAAGCTCCTTTTTTTTACTTCTATCTCATGAAATCATGTGTTGCAAGAATAAAATGTTACTGTTTTACCATTGCCTTTTCACTTTTACCCAAAATATGGAGTACTCGAGGCTTGCTCACCGTTGAACAGTGAAGTGACTGTGTCGCTGTCCGAGAAGTACTTGGGAATTTTTTCATATTAGATTGAGGCAATAATGGGGAACAGATAACAATAATCATTGCCCATTGAAAGAGGAAAAGGGTTTTTATTTGACCAGGAGTATGTTTATTTGAGTTGCTTCTCCCACCTTAAATTCGGGATGTATGTTCATTCAGCAGCTGGGAACATAAAGGCAAGCAGGCCCGGCAAGCGATCATTCATTTTGTTAGTCTTTTCGGTGATTCCTCCGCTGCATCCGTTTGATGAAATAATGGGAAAGAAACTCAAGATATCAATACTTTGGGAAATTTATATGCATATCGCACAATTCTTATGCATTTAGGTGTCTAACACTTTATTTTACTATTTCTATTTATGACACTATGGTTTTATTAATTTATGTTTGAAAATATGTATTTTATTTAAAGTTAATATTGTTGATATTTTTGATGTGATGTTAAAAATTAAAGTTTAGGTATTGAATATCTAAATGCATAAAGATTGTGTGGTATGTATGTAAATGCCCTTGGTAATGTTTTGTATATATATATATATATATATATATATATATATAACGGTAATAGAGTGATAATTTAATGTCATATCATTGCACTTCACAGAGAAAAGAAAAGTTATGAGAGGAGATATCAAATTTTTTCTGGTGAAAAAATTCTGGAAAGGGAAATAAACATGAAGCATCACTCACTTAATATAATTCAATAGGTAATAAGGAGTATAGTGATCCACTTTTACTTGAATTTACGAATGGTTGGATTACAAGTTGATGTTGAAATCATACTTCTTTGAAATAATCCAACATATATAACTGTTAAGGGTAAATAAGATAAACTATTATAATCTAAATATGATAGTTGTGATGGGGGTCGTAACATATGTTGTTGGCTATAGAAGTTGTAGTTGAGTATACAAGTCCTAATTGATGGATATATGATAGTTGTTGTTGAACTACTAAAGTCATAGTCGAAGATTAAAATAGTTGTAGTGGGCTATAGAATCCATAATTGTAGGAGGCTATAATAATTGTGATAGGGTGATCAAAGTTGTAGTTGGTGGTGATCGATAACGGTTGGTGGTAAATGATGACTTTAATTTAGTGGTTAATGTCGATTGTTTATGGTTGACGATGAACCTTGATGGTCGGCTGTGGTCTCGAGATACCTTTAATAACTGTTGGGACGTTAAGAGTTAAATTTGAGTATTCAACTCGCTTTTATCTTCCCCTCCCATCATTCAAGTAAAGAATGGGGACAACTTTATAATTTTCAGAGAGACATTTTGATAAATTTGAGCATTCTCCAAAAATAATTTATCGGACGGTCCACATTGATTCCCTTAATCATATATATTATTTTTAATATTTAAGTGTTTTAATATTATCATAATGATCTTGGACATGTTGCATTTTGATCCCACGATGAAATATAGTTATGCAAAACATATAAAGTTGACTCCGCTATGCAACGGTGCCAAAAACTTGATGCAATCTTTTATAAATAAGATAATTAATGGATTCTATGCAAGTATACGTATCGTTATCAAGTAATAAAGGACTCTATTTATGCCCCAAATATTGATCCCATTGGGAAGGTTTAAATTTGAAATGATAAATTAACTAGAAAATTTATAGAAAGTAAAACAAAATTACTGTCACTAATTTCAAATATTAAAATATTATCAGAACTAAATTATTTAACTACTAGCAAAATTGAAATGCAAAGTTTAAATAACAACTACTAAATTATTAAACTATGTTTATGTGATGAAGATTTCTTATGTGAAAAAGTATATTTCCCACTAGAATGAACTTTTGGTAAAATGAGATGAGATAAATGGTTTTAATATGTATTGTGTCAAATATGAGCAGTTTTAATTCTCTTCCCTGATACAGTGTTATAGAAAATCATTGACTAATCCTAGATTTAGTCCCTTAACCCGTGGCTAGGCTAGGAGAATATTGGCTCCCACTCCAAAGCCACTTCCCTTCACCTGAAGACTAACTCTCGCTTTAGTTCTTAAACACTAAGATCGAATTGGGGATTTTAGTATATCACCCTAAAATCTCCAATTCTACACCCAACAATATATATTTTCTTATTTATTTGCACTTAATTACATGAACGAAATTCATCTTCATGGAATCAAATGTGATCCTCACTCTATTATAGAAGTCATACTCCATTTCCGGGCTCATATGTTTCATAACAAATTTTAATAATTCAATTGACCAGATCGAAAAGTAAATTAAGTTCGGAGTTGAAAAATCATCATAATTTATTTTATATTTTAACATTGGCACATCCATATTATCCTTTCATTTAACCATATCTCAGAGTAGAGAGAAAGATAAATGAAACTACTCAGACTTCATGAGAAATATACAACAAAACACAAATTTCATATATAAGAGAAAGTTCATACAACACTATAAAAAAACAACACTTATCTTGAAACTCTTTCTCAAAACTCTTTCTCAAAGCAAATCCCTTATAGCCTTTCCTAGAAAATGTATGAAGAAGAAATCTTTCACTTTTCTCGTTCTTCAACACTCATAGAGAAAGATTCACACTTAATCTCAACACAAAACTCTAAATTCTTAAAGTAAAATCACTAACAGACTCCAAAATGGTGGTGGAATGAACATGGAAAAGTGTATGGTATGTAAGAGAATGAATGATGGTGAGGAATGACAAAAAGGAGCCAATTTTCTGATCAATTTTGGCCCCAAATAGAGCATAGAGTCGGTTCTCCAATATGTGCATCCAAAATCTCTTCAAAAGCGTCCAAATTCATCAAATCTTCTAGAAACAGGATCTGAACCAACATTCGCGTCGTTGGCGCCAGTGGTCCGTAATTTAATTTGATGTTCTCTGTCAAACGACGACGTCGACGCTAAACAAATTTTCAACTTCTCCATTTTGACTCCAAATTTCATCATTTTTGCTTCCTTTTTGCTCCAAGTCCTAAAATTCAACAACTTGCAAAAAACATTAAAAATATCTTCCATTAAAGTGCAGTATCACCAAAAATGAGTATAAAATATGAGTCTAAAAATGCATATATTTTTTGTGTATTAAAATCCCCCAAAGTTACATGTTACTTGTCCTCAATTAACTCCTTTACTACTAGAAATATGACTTATAATAAAGAATTTAAGATTTCTGATTCTCTATTCTTTTTAAGAAAAATTGCAAATTGTCATATTAAAGTCACTTAGAATATTCATATGAAAAGGAACTTCACAAAACTTTACGAGTAAATAAGTTAATACTCAAATAAAAGTTTAGAAAATGTAGTCAAGTTTTCTTCTTTAAGTTGATTCTAGTGAAGTCAATTTTTAATTAGCCATATCCTCAAGCTTCTCCCTACATCTTTTTCTTTTATTTTATTTTCTTTTCTCTTTTTTTTATGTGAGGATTACTATATCTGGATAACCCTTAATGATTTTGAACTTCACTATCATCTTCTTAAATTCAAAAATTTCTTAAAGTTTATATTAGCTTAAAGATTTCATAAAGTTTAATTCCTTTCTCTTTACATGAATCTCTAAGATTTTTAATACTTCAAAAATACAAATTTCTTTACTTAAAATAGAAAAACATAGTCTTATTTTTTCATACCAAATATCTTACTCTTTAAAATTAACCTTTATTATTGAAAATTTTTACTTAAATTTACTATATATTTAGAAACATAAATATAGTTATTTAAAGTTATCCCATAACACCAAAGGTCATGTTAAATTTAAAATTTTTGAAAATATAGCTAAATGAGAACAAATAAAATTAAATTTCTTTCTTTAAAAAGAAAATTTTCTTCCCCCCTCCCCCCCAAACTTAAATTTTTAAGAGATTTAGCATGAAGAACTAAAAAAATAAAAGGTGAAAGAAATTATTAAATATATAAAGAAAAGACTTACCAGTTGAAGGTTCTGATTTTGAAACTTAATTCTAAAATATTACGGGTGCTAATATGAAAAGCTACAAGACTTAAAACATTAAATAACACATAATACACATAAAATATGTTGAGAAAGAGTTAATTATAATACATTTAATAAAATACTAACTACTAACAACAGAACTAAACTGAATTTCAAATAACAAATAATTTTACAATTCTACAGTTCACAACTTAATATCTAAAATAAAACAGAGTTTCACTATCTAACAACAAATAGTCTAAAAAATATAACAAAAACAAAAAAACAAAAATAACAAAGTACAATCAAACATAAACTAAAAGAAAGATCAAACTAACATATCACCAATCATCGTCTTCTTCTTCTTCTTCCACATTCAAATTCTGCTGCTGATATGGAATAAAGACAGGGTGAGTAGGAAACTGAACTGAGTGATCACCCTTCATATATCTGACCATCGCATCATCATAAGCAACATCATATTTGAACTTTTATCTTATCAAATCATCAGTGTAAGCATTTCTGGCCTCCATGTTTTCCATTCCATGATCCATTCTTAAGATATCTCCCTGTTGGATTATCATTTGATCCAAAAGTTCTCGAAGAGTAGGGTCACTAGAAGTAGGGTTCCTCGAAGTAGAAGGAATATCTCTGGTCTTACTTCCAAACCTCCATCCAACATGAGATGCATATGTCTTTATATTGGTACGCCCAATAGGTTTTAGAGGCTCAGTCCTCTCTTCCTCAGGTCTAAAATCAACTCTTGCCTGTTCACAGAGTGTGAAGATCAGGGCAGGGTGTGTTAAACCACCAGTGGTCTCTCCCAAAGCAATAGATCTAGTGTTCATATAAATAATAGATCCTACATTTATCCTCATCACTTGCCGAATAAAGAAGTTCAGGATGGCTCTATCCTTTGTAACATCACTATGATGATTTTTTGGTATCATTCTTCCAGAAATAAAGTAGTGCTAGGCTTTAGATACTACATTTAACATAAAAAGAGGAAAATTTATCTTAATAACATTTTTCACCTTCTAAGTTCCTCTTCCATTCGTAAAATATATAAAGTTGACTCCGCTATGCAACGACGCCCTAATCTTTTATAAATAAGAAATTTAAGCAATTAATGGTGTGATTCTAAGCAAGTATATGTATCATCATTAAGTAATAAAAGACTTTCTATTTAAGCCCCAAATATCAATCCCACGATGAAGGTTTAAATTTGAAATGATAAATTAACTAGGAAATTCACATAAAGTAAAATAAAATTACTGTCACTAATTTTAAATGTTAAGATATTATCA